TCACCGTACAACTCCTTGGCTCGTTCCTTGCTTTGGAGAAAGACCAATACTGGAGGATTTAGACTCTACAAGACGTTGCAGAATATAAGTCAGAAATAAAGCAACTAAAAAATACCAATATAGCTGATAGGAGGGACTACAATATTATATGCATTTTGCAAGTTCCAAAGCCAAGCGAACGTAACTGATATATAATTAAACATTCCAAGTCTATATTATGTTCATGACACATTATGTAACACCAAACCCAGAATAAACAAAAAGCTTAATTGTATGCATGTAGCGTATAATCAGTAAAACAAATGAGACTACAAAAAAATAACAATAGAAAAATATATATTAATAGTAAATAGTAGGGACTTTCTTTTAAAACACACCAAAACCAATTATAGTTTAATTGTGAGACACACAACCCTCTGACTCTATGAAAGTTATGAAAGTTGCACTGACAAGAATTATTATCTAAAGAATTAGTTTAACCATTTACCTCTGCAAAACTTTGACGAATTGCAAGAAGTTTTCCTTCTTCACTTCCAGTAAAAATCAATTTTTGCTTTATCGTTTCAGAAGCCATATTCCTGATTCAAATAAAAGAACTAGACATTATCTACAAAATAATGTAAACGAAAACTGCATTAAGGATATACTCAGGAGCATCATTTTTGCAAATATTTTGCATTGAACTTACTTTCTGCCAACAATTACACGAACAGCATCATGCATAAGTTCTCGAGCTCGATCTTCAACAAAATCAGGTAAAGTAGCACTAAAAAGCGAGCGAATGATTGAGGGGTTGGAGCATGCCTTGAGAACAGAATCAATCTGCTTGAATAATTCGGGTTCAAACAGCTTATCCGATTCATCCAGGACAAGATACTCCACTCTGAAGCATCCAAAGTAGTTGGAAGAAATGAAAAAAATCAATACAACGACCTATCTAATAAATCACATCATATATCTGCTACTAACTTTGTAGACACAATCTCAAGATGCATCTAAAAGAATCTGGCAAAATTTTATAATGCTTGAGCATTATAATCAATAAAGTCGAGCTACACTTGTAGCACTCCGACCATGCCGCTTTAATAGAAGCACAATTGAAAAGAATGGATCCAAGATTATCATACGTGCAATTGATTGATAATTAATTAATCATAGCTCAATCAATTATTAGGATAAAAAACTGCAATATAATGAGAGTAAGAGAGCAACAATAAACCAACTATTATAAGCATTCAAGGTAAATATTTGCTATAAAAGACACTTATACGGCAATCATCATACCTGCTGAGATCAATCTTCTTCTTCTTGATAGCCAACCGCAATCGCAGTGGTGTGGATATTAGTATATCACATGGAAACTTTGAAAAATCAGCATTTCTTAAGAGATTTTTAGTCATTAACTTAATTCCAAATTTTTTTCTTTTTGCAAGTTTTTTGCACTCTCGAAATATTTGAGCAGATAATTCACGGGTATGACAAAGGATAACAGCTCGAATGCCACCCTTTTCTGGGTCCTGTAAAACATAAAATACATATATTATATGAATCGAGTATACAGGATATCGTGATTTTCAAACCGGGTTTGAGAAAATAAGCAAAATACCTTAAGCTTCATAAGCATTGGACATACAAATGCAAGGGTTTTCCCAGAACCAGTTGGTGCACACGCAAAGCATTCACGACCCTATCACAAATAATAGAAGAAATACAGCAGTTTAAAACAATATACAGTTTATACCTATCCCAAAGACAATAGAAACTACTTATGAATCATGACCGAACTTCAGTAACAGTTTTCTGAAGAGAGAAAACCAAATGAAAAATACTTATACTACAAGTAACTTAACATAATTCGTACAGCTAAAAGTACTGGAATAGTCTGCCTTTGAATAGGCGTTGGTTCTCTGAATCCAAGCTCCTTCAGGTTGCGCAACAAATACGATGGACACTTATATCTGCAAACAATTCATTAATATTCTGAATCATTCCTTTCTAGCAAACCAAATACCAGAAGAAGCAAAAAGAATGCAGGATATTACTCAGATATGGACTACATAATATTCTCATGAAAGATACCTTGATTTCAATTCGTCAAAGCTTTGAAGAGGAGACGGTACATTATAACCAGACACATGGATGTTGTGCTGCTTTCTGAATATCGCGTCCCGCTGAAAACATGTTCAATATATGAAACGATTGCACAAACTTACTAACATTTGTAATTACACAAATTGCACAAAACAGAAAAGGAACCTCGAATTGTCGATTTTGTTCCTTCTTATTCTTCTTCTTACTTAACTCAATAGACTCCTGATCAGCTTGAACTTCGCCACTAGACTGCGCCACAGATGCGGAATTTCTAAATACATTGAATCCTTCAACATTTTCTTTTATGCGTTTACGAAAACAAAGCAACAGTGAGATACGTTGAATACAAGAGCCGGAATAGTGTAAAACAAAGCAAGATGATGTGAATACCAGAAGAGTTTCCCTTGCGCTTCCTCTTCTTCGTGGACGCTGTTTTCTCTTCTACTGCTTCCCTCGTTTTTGCGCTTCCGTCTCTGACAACGCTCCAAATCTTCGCCGCATCAGTATCGTTATCTTTTTTCTTTTCATAATAAACGAAAAATAACAGTTATTAATTGTATGTGGTGTAAAAGTCAATAAGCGTATGTGATGAAGATAGATAGAAAGGTACCTGGAATCTGGCGATATCGGCGCCGAACTTCTTTCTGTTGAAACGAATGCCGGAAAACAGAAACGAAGAGTCGTTGGCCATTGGAGATGGAACAAACAAATGATACAGGGGTTTCTTTAATCAAGCACGATCTTGCAGTTCCTTCTTCAACCTCACTGCGGCCTGTATTTTTCAAAATAGTTATATTATAAGAATAAAATAGTCATAAAAGATTGAACTTTGGTATTTTTTTAAGAATAAAATAAAGATAATATCAAATGAATGTATATTTGTGTGTCAAAAATATCAATTATCTTTTTTTTACTATTTTACTATTTGCTGTTAACGAAAAGAAATAAAAGGAATTTAATCAGTCTTAAAACAACAAAGCCACCACAACAGTCCTACTCCACTATGCATTTGTTCCTAATACAATGATACAAAATCGAATTACGCTACTCTGGTGAATGCAATACCAAATGCACAAAAAGAAGCCTTCGGAACATCAACCACAATATAGTTAGAGGTTGAAAGTTTCGAGCACAAATGGAATGCACAATACTAAGGTATGAACCAACTCATACATAACCACCCCACCATGACCCACATTAGAAAAAAACATAGTTTCCACGCAGGAGAAACCCTGAGAAGATTGAATGGACACTCTGGCCATATACTTCACATGCAATGGCCAAAAATGGGTGGAAAGAAGTGCAATTGAAGCTAAGATGACTTGAAAATTTAGTTTAATTTTAATACCATGCAAGCGTGAAGGTTTTTCTCAGTAAATAGTGTAGAAATGTTTTACATAATGATCGTCCGATCATAAAGCCTTTATGCACGATAAATTTGTTAACTCTTAATATATATACACACACACACATTTTGGGAAACGAGCATGAACTGATGAATTGAAATTTAATGTATGTTCAATGATCAAAGAAAGAGACATTGATCTCTCTCGCTTTTTCTTTTCACAAGTAAATTATAATTTTCCATTTATATAATTACAGAGAATGTCAATGTATTTTTTTTTATAAGTTCACGAGTATTTCGAAACTTTCATCACACTCTCATAAAATAAGTAAAACCTTATTAAATATTGTTTTTGTCAGTGATCAAACTCGGACCATATATACATGTTTATGTGATTAGAAGTATTTTGACAAAATTAGACTAAAGTTTTTTAACAGGCTAAATTAATTTTTGTTTTAGCTAATTTATAAAAAAAATTATGGGTTGTTTCAAAATTAACATATAAGAAAATCGTCTAATTTTTTTTTTCCTTTCTCAAAATTCTTCTTAAGAATATTGAAACTTTCACTCTACTATATATCTTGCAAGTACCCATTGATCATAACGTGTGGTAAAAACAAGAAAAGGAAGCTTTCATGTAATTAGCATCACATGGGACTTGCCAGAAATCAACAATGACGAGGCACTTGGAAGAGGATGAAATTCTGGGTCAAAGACTCAAATATCTCTATATTTGTATGTAAAATTGAAAAGAAGTTGGGTTCAAGTAGTGCTGAGTTATCCATTTATTTAACTGTTACGGTGGTCTTGTTGTGGTATTATAGATAGCATAATTACTTTTTAATGCTATCAAGAAATGAAGAGACAAAAAATTGATTGCCATAATCCTAGCACAGACTTGGACTTGATAGAAAACTTTAGCAAGAAGGATGCAATGGCTTAGAACACAATGCATGTGTAAATTCTAAAGTTTTCTCATCTCCTTTTCTTGTGTATCATATTATCATTACACTTTTCGAGGTAGAAATATCGAATCAATCCATGTCCTAGATTAATGAACAAAATATGTCTCCTTCAAACATCATCACAAGTTGAATGCGGCCTATTCATAGATTAATGTTTGGGATGACTTGATTTCCCAAATATAAGGATTTAGTTTAATTTAATATGAAGTTAATGAGTCCGCCAAGAAGCATTTTCTAGATGGAATGACATTTGAGAATAATTAGTGAGAAGATTTGACTGTACATAGATCTAAACAACCAACTACACATCTATGAACTCAATCACAAAGGCCACATCATACAAACACCTTAATTAAACAAAAAAAAAATCATAAAAAGGCAACTTATCATATGTTCTTAAAAATTGAGAAACAAGAGTATTAATGATATAGTTGTTGAAAACAAAAAGGTTGCATTACCCCATGGTGGTGAAGGTTTAGTTCTGCGCAGGTAGAAGATGGAGCCGTAGAAGCAGCCGCCGCAGTTGAGGGTGGTGGTGTTTATTAACGGCGTTGAGTCAGAGCCTATATTTCTGGACAATTAGGTTTATGTCAATAAGTTTGGGCCCAGACTTATTTGGGTTCTGGACCGGTGTTGTTAAAGCCCATTTTTTCCGTTTTGGAACTGTGGGTTATGTATCCTTTGAATTAAGTCAATTTAAGAATTCTGGAAAGAGCATTCTTCAGGGTTCTTAAAATTTTGAATAATGGGAAGACAAAAGAGATGTGGCGTATTCCTTACGCGTATCAAGATACCATCATCATGGAGAAGAACTTTTTCTTTATTCAGCTCAATCACAGATTTTAAGAAAGAAGCAAAGTAAAGAGAAATAAAACTAAAAAATCAAATCGGTTGATATACTTCCTAGATGTAAAGACCAGAGTAGAAACTAACCGAACATCAGTAAATAATAAGGGAAGGAAGTGGCAGCAATCATGAAAGCAAAATGCTTTGGTTTTCACTCACTTGGGATAAAGTTTGTTAGGGTTTATATTTGTATCATCTAAAATCATGTTGAAATATGACCCAAGATGGTTTTAAGTAAAGACTTAGATGTTCAAATGCATAATTAATATATTGGATGAAAATATTTACACTGACTTCTATTAATTTGGTTTTAGAATAAAAATACTCAAAATAAATCACCACGTTTCCAAAATTTAAACATAAAAAGTCTAAACAAACGTAACTTTTGATGAATTCGGTTTTATAAAATTAATTTAATTCAAAATAAATTTTACAGGTACTTTTCCAGATAATAAAGTTATGATGCTACAAAAAGTGTTAAGAGTTCCCTAATAATAAGTGTAAATACGAATCCTTTATAAGTTGAAAACCTCCCAGAGAAGGTGTTATCTTATCAAGTTGAACATAAATTCTAGAGGTGCATTATTATATAACAGAAGTTCGAACACGTTTTAGGTATCTTTTGTGGATTTATTATAAGTCTTTAAAGTATACATAATTAATAAACTACAATGATTTTTTTTTAACGAAAATCATTTCCAAGACACATGTTTAGTCACTTACTGTTACTAAAACAAAATCAATTATGATAATTTTAATTGGACTTTTGGATTATTACTCAAAATTACCATTCGCAGCTATAAAGAATACTCACAAATATTGAAGATGATTAATTACTTTTTTATGTGAAATTAGGAGAAATAAATATTGTCTTGACAAGTATATTTGGTGTTTGAATTAATTTGAAAAGTGGGGATAATTAATGTACAGCTGTTTAAAGAAATAAAAAAGTATTCCCTCACGAATGCTCCTTTTAGAAATATCCTTTTATCCGTATAACATTTTTGCTTGCAAATAAAAACTCCTACTTTTACTCCTTTTCAAACAAAAATAAGAAATACTTCTTTTTAATATATATTCAATTTTATATGATTTTGTATTAGAAAAAAAAATGGACTAATGTATAGAAATTGCCTCTGGGTAGTCTCCTACAGTATATGCCTGAGGATGCATATATAGTTCTTCATCCTGATATGAAAACATGAACTCCACAAAAAATTGTTTAGGAACTTATTATAGAGTTCAGCATTGTGATGTTAAAGTTGCAAAGAGAAAACGTTTATTTTATTCTCATTTTTGGTTCAGACAAAAAGGTTTTCAAGACTCATGTGTAACAACATGTTGAATCTAACTGATAATCCCCTGAAGCCTGAATGTTTTGTTTTATTATAATAAATTCAAGTTGAAATTCTGTATCTGACAATGCCATTATCCAATATGAGTTGGATCTTCCATCATAGTACTTAATAAATGAGCTGGAAGTCCCCACTTCAACCACCGATTCATGAAATATGGATATGCTCAATCCTCACCCCAAAAAAAGAAAAGATAAAAGGAGTTGAAAATATGAGAGATTAATAAAAAGAAGTGCATGCTAATACAGACCTTTTCTGTTCAACAGCATAAGATGGGTAAGGCAATAAATAAAATAAGCTACAACAACACTGTTCAGTGATGCCGACCACATTCACAGGTGTATTATTCGTTTAAGGTTGTTTTATATTTCAATTTTCAAAGCAGAACATTGTAGCATCAAAGAAATTTGGCAATGAAATTGAATTTACATTTATATCACAACTAAGAATCAAGAATGAGGAACTTTGACCAGAATGATACTTGTCCTTGGATGGGGAAGCACAGAAAGGATTCGGACAGTTCATTTGTCCTTTCTGTCATTTGGCCATGAATCGCATATCTTCCCCTCAGGGCAGATAGAGCAAAGTGAATGAAGATACAAATTGATAAATATAGTAAGTAAAACAATTATCACCCCAAATCAAAATCCTCCAAGAAACTTTAGGATACACATAAAAATAGGGAAAATAAATAAATGGAACACTCAATTTAAATGAACTCCTTTTGTGCTATTCTTTCAGTGATATATTTCAATTCCAATTCAACAGTTTCCATCCTTTTTCCTGTATGGTCAACTGTCCACAACTTTGTCCACAGATAACTCCGCATTTAAGCTAATTTCTACCTTTGGTGGACCTGAATGGCGCCTTGGCCTGGAAGGTGAAGCTGGGAAAGATAGCCGCTTCTTTGCAGTCCCAAAGGATCCTTTCTCAGTTTTTCCATTTTCTGGGGCTAATGGACTTTGTGTCCTCGATTTGGCTTTTGCAGATTGAGTTGGCACCATGTAGCTTGGAATTGCTGGAGAGCTGGCAAGGCTCTCATCGTCTCTCACCGATGAACCTGCGATCGAGTGCCTCCGGAACCGATCTGACTGGACACTCACCAAGCTTTTAGAGTCCTCGTCTGTAATCCAGCTGCCCCTTGGACTTGCCTTCTTTGATTTCTTAGCAGATGCCGAAACTCGCTTGGAAGGAGTGAACTGAAAGCTGGGTGAGCCAGGATTTTGGCTGGCTGTTGGAGAGTGCTTCTCAGAATTGAGCTGAAAACGAGCAAATGACTTGCTGATTTCCCCACCAGTAATGCCGCGGCTTGAGCTTTTCACGGATCCATGATCATTTAACTCTTTATCCACCTGGCTACGGTTCTCTAATGGTCGGGCTGCCATCCATCGTTCCAACCAGCTCCAACCCCAGGCAGGATTTGTTGGATCCATGAACATAGGATTTAAAGATCTAGATGAGTTCTTCCAGTTTTGCTGCCAAGTTTTGTTTTAAACAGAATATTAAACCCTTAATTTTTTTTGAAAAATTGAGAAACTTGCCCTCATGATTGTAAATTATATCACGGGAAGACACTCTATACTTTCCATCAAAATATACCAAGCACATTACATAACATGACACTTCATTTCAGCAAGTAAATACCAGAATAACTTATTGCAGCAGCTTAAAAAATTATTAGCATATCATTGGTTCGTAAATGTGGCAGCCAGAGAGGATAGTGCTGAGATTTAAGAGGAGGATATGGCTTTGAAGATGGTGACAAGACTAATGCACTCAACAAGATTAAGTTTCAGCTTCAAGAGATAAGGGAACAATGAAGAGTATAGACAATTGTACAACTAGGATGCTTGATTTCTCATTTTAGTGTTTATAATATATGATATATTTTAAAGATTTATCAGTTTATATTAAATTTTTCATCCATTTTCTCACATGTGTAAATTGATGAGATAGATAGAAAAACCTGATGAGTGAATGCATAAGCCAATGCTCTTTCTCTCCTCATAGCAGCCTCATACTTGCTTAGTAACTTGGCTTCGATTTGTTCTTTTGATTGTAGGCTGTCATCCCATTCCTCTCCCATCTATTATGATAATCGGTAGCAAGTTAAAAACAACATTCCAAACACAACATACAAAAATGTAAAAAATGATTAGCTTTTCAAAATAAATTAGGAAATGAAACCCAGACCCGCAAACTCTCAAGCTCTCTTGCATGTTTCTGTAAGAGCTGTCTCTGCAGAGCCTGATTTTCCTCCAACATTCTGATCCTCCTGGAACGAATCTGAGACTGCAAGCGAGACAGTGTCTGCATAGATCGGAGGGTACTCGTGGCTTGGCGTTTTACAACCGACCCTTCCATCAGTAATTTCAGCCTGACCAGTCCCCTTAAAGCCCGCAATGCTCTTCTTGCCTAAATGATTTCAAAAGAAATTCTAGTTTGAAAAGTAATTCAAATAACAATTTCTTTGTGTGGCTACAATTCATTGATACTGTTAGCGTCATAGCTGTGTGTAAGAACACATTCAACTAAGATACTGTACAGATCCAAATTTAAAGAGTTAAATTTTTATGTTACAGTAAAACTTTTAATCATATAGTAAACAGGAAATTGATACAATATTCTTGTGACAAAAGCTTTTCTCTTGTAGCAAAATTTTAAAAATAATCTACTTTCTTTATCTCACACCCTTAGCTTGGATTTAACACATTTATCATTAGAACTGAACTAACACGATACCACTGGTATAGAAAATGCTAAGTAACGATGTAATGTTACTCAGAATTTTTTTCTTGACCAATGTCAACCCTCCCTTTGTAGAACCTAATAATAATTTAGAAAAAAAAAAAAGGAGAGGAACGCATTCATTTAGTATGGTTGAGTTAAAGGTTCATTTGGTTCCCAACCAAATGAATTAAAGGTGGAGTTGCACTAAAAAGATATGTTCTTTATAAGGCTCAATAAGAATATGAATGACATTTTATTACAAAACAATGAGTTCATAACCCATATTTGAAAATAAAAGAGTTAAAAATGCATTTCCTTAAGTGCTTTCGGTGGTATTCTTTAATCAACGTAAGAGTTTCATATCACTAAAACACATAATTATGGCTTACATTAAAGGTCAACATAGATTACAAGACAAAATTTCAACTTTGATTGAAGAACACCACCAAAGTTTTGTACTTCAATAAATCCTTTCTACTTGAGATTTGATAGCACTGTAGAGTTATTTGTATTGTATCATCTCTAAAACATATACAAGCAAGTTTTATGTAGGATTTTTATGGAAAGAAAACTACTCTCATTAAATAGTTAAATGAATGGTAAAAAAGAGTGAGAGGGGAGAAATTAATGAAGTAAATTTATAGTT